GTGCGTACATAGGCATATAGAGTCCATGTATGTGTATGTATCGAATGGTCTGGGTCCAGGGTCTGGCTGCTTGCCTGTGTTAAGTATGGAGAAGAGATGGACTGATTCGGTACAGAAGAATGCAAGAGCCGATGACTGGTGCCAGCGGTGCCAAAATCGGCCTCTGTGGAGGAGGCTCGTGAAGGAGGCAGTCGCCCTCACAACAACGAGCGGAGGGCCGGGGCGGTTAAACCCGCAGCGAGTTTGCCCCGTGGGGAGCACAGGCGAGATGAATCCGCCTGTCATCTCAGCCAACCCATGGCACCTGGGTGTTTCCCGTGACATCCTGCCAACGAGACTTAGATACTTCACGTGGTCTCAAGGTGCACCCAGCCTGGCACAAACGCCGCGGTGACGCCACCGCCACTTGGATGCGATCGGTGGTCGAAGTGTCGAAAGTGTGTTGGCACGATCCCGTAGGCGTGCCGGGTGTGCATGTCTGTCTGTCTGTATGTCTGGACGTGTGTGTGTGTGTGTATATCTGTCTGTATGTCTACACGTGTGTGTGTCCGTACGTGTGTGTGTGCGTGTTGAATGGGCAGGGTACCGCAGGCATCCCCCTGTGTGTGTGTATGTGTGTGTGTATGTGTGTGTGTCTGTCCGTATGTGTGTCGTATGTGTGTGTGTGTGTTGAATGGGCAGGGTCACGCAGGCGTACCCGTGTGTGTCTGTCCGTATGTATGTGTACGTGTATGTGTGTGCGTGTGTCTGTCTGTCTGTATGTGTGTAGTACATGTGTGTGTCTGTCCGTACGTGTGTAGTGTGTGTGTGTAGTGCGTGTGTGTAGTGTGTGTGTGTAGTACGTGTGTGCGTGTGTGTGTGTCTGTCCGTACGTGTGTAGTACGTGTATGTGTGTGTGGGGCGTGTGTGTAGTGTGTGTGTAGTACGTGTGTGTGTAGTGTGTGTGTGTAGTACGTGTGTGTAGTGTTCGTGTGTAGTACGTGTATGTGTAGTGTGTGTGTGTAGTACGTGTGTGTAGTGTGTGTGTGTAGTACGTGTATGTGTAGTGTGTGTGTAGTGTGTGTGGTGTGTGTAGTACGTGTGTGTGTAGTACGTGTGTGTGTGGTGTGTGTAGTGTGTGTGTGTGGTGTGTGTAGTACGTGAGTGTGTGTAGTACGTGTGTGTGTGTGGTGTGTGTGTACGTGTGTGTGTGTGTAGTGCGTGTGTGTGTAGTGTGTGTGTAGTACGTGTGTGTGTAGTACGTGTGTGTGTGTACAATGTAGCACGTGTGTGTGTGTACGTGTGTGTGTAGTACGTGTGTGTACGTGTGTGTGTAGTACGTGTGTAGTGTGTGTGTACGTGTGTGTAGTACGTGTGTGTGTGTAGTGTGTGTAGTGTGTGTGTAGCACGTGTGTGTGTGTGCTGAATGGACAGGGTCCCCCAGGCGTGCCCCGCGCCACGCCGCTAATGAAGCGTGCGCGCGCCGCCGTTGCTTTGGCTCCGGCGCTCCCATTGGCTCCGCGCCGCGCTCCATTAATTAGACGCACGCGCGCCCGTGAAAGCCACCCGCAGTGCGCACGCGACAATAGTGGTGGGGGTGGGTGGGGTGGGGGGGTGGGTGGGGGATGAGTGGGGCACACCCGGGTGGTGTGGGGTGGGGGGAAGGGTGGGGGGACCCGAGGGGAGGGGTCGTGGGTGGCAGGGAGAGATGGAGGGAGGTGGAGGGATGGGAGGGAGATGGAGCCACGAGGGATGGAGATGGGCGAGAGGGGGAAGGGGGAGATTGGAGGGAGGGAGATGGAGATGGAGCCACCAGGGAGGGAGATGGAGCCAGAGCGATCTAAATAGTGAGGATGTGGAGCGAGAGGGAGCGAGAGAGTTGGGAGGGAATTATTGATGGAATAGGCAAAAGTAAACTTGTGTTTGTTATCGTAGTTGTGCTGGACAGCCGTCGATGTTGTTTTAGGGCTGCACCGCGTGTTGCTCGGCACGATGTCCGACGTTTCGAGTCCACGCGCGGGGAAGCTACATCAGGGACGGAAGCTCGCTAACAGCACTTGTCCCGAGTGGATTCACGGCTGTGCTAGGGGAGGATCCTTTGCCTTTGTCACACACAGCACCAAGCGATGATTTTATGCTGAGTCGACCTCGTGTAGCCCCCAGCTGACTTCAATTCCTGGCCACGATTGGACGACACCGGTGTCAAACCGGCGCTCCCCTTTGTCGACTCAGCCTAAAATTTGCGTCATCAACAGAGTTGCAACGATTCAATTGGACCAACCTGGCGATTCGATTAATTTTTTGTCGCGCTTAATTTCAATTACGATCAACGTAGCGGCCACGAGTGGCTCTGGGTATCACACAAACCCGTAGGACTTGACGTATACAACACTGAAAATAAAACATCGCTTAAATAGAACTCGATTCGATCAATGGATCACGAGCTATTGAATCGATATTGATCGATTATTCTGTGCATCGTGACAAATCGAATGATCAATGCTGTGTCTCGTTCCATGCAGGAGACAAAGGCGGTCGGGCGTGGTGTGTTTGTGGCCACTACCACTGTTTGGTAGCCGTTCCGATATTAATAGGCGCTCGCTAACAGCGCTGCGGTTACAAATGATGAATGTACTATCTCGATTTGCCCACTTCAGTAGTTTTTTGTTGCTGTGGATGTCCCACCTGATGACGATTGCTTGTGTTGCGATCGAAACGTCGTGATCTATTATTTTTCTACCCACGTGACTTTACCGGAAGAACAAAAGATGATAAATGTTACTGTTACCTTTGCGAATGCGCTACGAACTCGACCACCTGAGTTCGATCCCAGGCCACGGCCAACATCAGTGGCGCGTTTTATCTGAACAGCTTCAAAACCTCTCTCCTCCACCCCACTCCACCAACCCTCATTGACCAGAGTGGTGAAATATAGACAATCAGTCTTCAGTGGATACAAGTTTATTATTATTTTGACACATACGTATTATTTCGACGCGACAAAGACAACATATAGGGTTTTATTAACCTTACTTCTGGGGTCAGGTTTTGTGTGGTTATGAATATAAGAATAAATTAAGTGGTTTAAAGTTAAGGGTGCATGCAATTGCCGCTGCCGGCGAAATAGTCTGCACTGGAGGAAGAGCGTCTCCTCGTCTGGAGGGGACTCCAGGCGTCTTTCCCACTCCGACCAGACGACTTGATAAAGGTGTGGGGGGCGGAAGGGGGGAATGTCCCCACAACTTTATTCCACCGCTTATCGACCGTGGCGCATACCAAAGTCCATCGTAATATTTATTTACACTGGAGGAATCCGAGTAGCTATAATAGGGTCGGAGTGCAGAGTGTATGAAAGGTAGACAAATCACTTTTAAACGAAACGATTCATATAAAAACTACAATATTTGTTTTTGTATCTTGCCAGGTAAACCTCACTGAGCTATTAGCTTCTGTTTTTCAGAAGCAACCTGCCCACAAACGATAAGCTGCAGTCGAGATCGACGAAGATCGTGAGACGCGTGGATAGGATGGATCGTAGTTGATTCCGGCAAAGACGTAAAGTAAACAACAGATGTCCGCTGCAGTTGTGAAAGCCACAGGTGCAGCCCTGCAATTTCTTGTGAACGTCACTGCAGGCGGAAGGACATCAGCCAAAGTAAAGCTCCTCTACGGAGGGTCATTTCTGGCCGACTTTTCCACGCTGATCAACAATCCGTGGCCGTGCCCATATACTCTTTGGTTCTTTCGGTAAAGTCACGTAGGTGAAAAAAAATAAAAAAAATAAATCACGATGTTTCGATTGCAACACAAGCAATCATCATCAGGTGACTTTACTTTACCGAAAGAACCAAAGAGTATGGATCCTTGCAGTCACTAAAACTTCAAATCTAGACCGTACCCATATACTTTACCCCAAATACCTAACTGTTGATCGACTGCTGCCACGGTGGCGAAATGTTAACTACCTCGCCTGGTATGCAAGAGGCTGTGGGTTAGATCACGACCCTGACGCCTGCTGTATATATGGAGTTTGAATGTCTCTCTCGCTCTCTCTGCCCGTGGTCGCGTGGATTTTTTCTCCGGGTCCTCCGGGTTTCCCCTCCACATTTCGGATCAACATCACCACGCGTTTAGAATTATTTGTCCGCTCTGCATTTCCACGTGACGATAAGCCGCTCCGTTGTGGCCAGGTCGCTTCTGACAAAAGAGCCGTATAGCTCAATGGGTCTTACCTGGTAAAGTAAATAAAAACAATACTTTCTATTATACTTTACAGACTGTGTGTGCCTATACAGCAATGTATAGATGCCCGCGTGTGTGTGTGCGCGCGCGCGTGCGTGTGTGTCGCGTGCACGCGCGCGTCTGCCCTAAGACCGTGTCTGCGCACGTGCGCACTCATCGGCAGCCCGCGGGGCGGTGAGTGTGGATGGAAGGAGGGGTGGGTGGTGTGTGTGTGGTGGCGGGGGTGGGGGTGGTGGTGGTTGGTGGTGGTGGTGGCAGTGGTGGTGCAACTTTGGTGCCAAAACACCGGGCATTCACAGATTAAAGGCTGGACACGAGGCGGACAAGAGCGGCCGAGGGCGGGAGGGATGGCGGGCGCGTGGATGCCGGGCTCATGGGTGCAGGGATTTGTGTGCGCGCGCGCGTGCGCGTGCGTGCGCGCGTGTGTGTGAGGGTCGAGATGGTTGGAGATGGGAGGGGGTGGGTGGGTGGGTGCTACTAGTGGTGGGGCAGGGATAGATGATATTCTTTACAGAGTTTCCCCCCCCCCCTTCTTTTTCTGCTTCTTCGATTCTGCTCCCTCCTCCATTCACCCTCCTCCTCCTCTCTAAACGTGCTTGGGGGGGGGGGGGGGGGTTGGGGTGGGGTCGTGGTGCTAGTTATTTATTTATTATGTACCCTCCTCGAGGGGCTCTCCCCCCCCACTACCCTCCCGCCTTTGTTGCCCATTGTGTGCCCGGGGAGGCGCTTATATAGCGTGGGGCGTGCGGCAGTCGCGTGCACCACTGCGCCAAGAGAGACGGAAGAGCCGGCGACGCGCGCGACCATCGCACTCCCAGTCTCGTGCCACCGGCTTCATCCCGAGCACGCGCCGCGCACGTGACGCCCTCGACTCACGCGACGCGCACGAGCCCAGCACGCGGGCCAAGCAGCAGCAGCAGGCAGCAGCAGCAGGCAGCAGCAGCAGCATTAGCACCAGCGAGGTGGGCATGCAAGCAGAGCAAAGCGCGTGCACACTCACACACTGCATCGGCTAGTGTACCTCACTGCACGGCATACACCCCCACACACAGTGCACAAACGAACTTCCTGGTTGTGTGTCATACGCACACTGCATTCGCTAACTTACATGCATGGCATACACACTGCATAAGTTAACTTACTGACTGCAATACATACAAACACACTGCAAAAGATACTGACTACCGACTTTGTGTTATTTGCAACTGACTGCATGTCATACCTGATTGAAATGCAAGACGATGGTGCCTCTCTGTTTGTCCTCTGTACGTGTCCCTGTGTGCATTTGCAGCAATGTCCACGAGCACACACTGTCAATGTAATATGACTTCGTAAGCCACTGCGAGTAACATATGCATTCGTGTCTAGATAGGTGGGCAGACAGCGTCACAAAACACACAGCATACACTACTAACTTAGTGACATGCATGAATGAACCCGTGTATATTCATTCTGTACCTGTCTGGATGTGTCCTTGCATCAGTGTACATGAGCATGCCATCTTTACGGTTGTTATGTCACGATGCCACATACTTTACGATGGCTCGGTTGTAAATGCAGGACACAAGACGAGCAATACATGAACCTTCTGTCACCATGACTCTAATGTCAATAGTACATGACATCGGTGTGCATACATGCGTATACTCTTACAGCCTCATGGTCTACCAGCCTCCCAGACTCATGCTTACCAACAGCATCTATTTAAACAGTAATATAAATACATACTCACCATTCACCTATCATCATTGACTATCCCAACATGGCCATGCTGTAGCTGCAGTGTGTGAATGCCTGACTTGACAATCACGAGGACTATGCTGTCACTTCGTAACTTAGTGATACCACTCTTAATATGAATGTATAACTGTATGAATCCATATCACTAGAACAATATAACACTACAGCTTATGATAACTCTACGATTCTGCTATCACGACCAATGAATAGCAAAACCACTACATATATTATCAGCTTATGAATACAGAATATACCATCACAATACGATCACTTTATCACGATGCATTTCGTTTTTGTCTACACACATACAACATTTTTTTATTTTTTTTTATTTTATCAGAAGTTGTTTTGCTCCATCTCTTGAAACAAGTGTTGCTTTTCGAGGCCGTTCTGCTAGGAGTGGCGTGATCAAGGCAAATGCAGGCTGACCCTTTACCTTTGCCAATTAAAAGTAACAAAACTTAGCACGGTTGGCGATGTACGGTGCGAAAGAAGTTCAACATACACACATGCATATGTATCCAAAAATGCTAATACGAGATGTAGCATGATACATCATGCATTTTAAAATAATTCCCTCCCCCCCCCCAAAAAAAAGTCACTTGCATCCACGAAACATTTGGTCTAACATAGCAAATCCTCGATGGTTACCGAAAATAAATGTTTTATTGTTCGTTTTCCAACAGAATGATGTCTCCATTTCCTGGCGACGGACCCACCCGTCCGGAGAGCAGCAGCAGCAGCACTAGCAGCGGCATCGCCATCCCATCGCCGATGGAAGAAGACACTCCGGCACCGTCTCCTCGCTTTCCATGCAGCTCCTCCCCATCATCATCGCCGCCGACATTATCGTCATCCGCATCACCGTCGTCGTCGCCGTCATCATCATCCTGCGAAGAAGAGAAACCTCAGATGCCCGAGCAGCAGCAGCAGCAGCGACGGCGGAAGGCGAGATCCAGAGGCTCCGGCCGCGCCGGCGGCGAACCGCTGGTGCGCGTTAAACAGAACAGGCGGATGAAAGCGAACGACCGCGAGCGCAACCGCATGCACAACCTGAACGACGCGCTCGACGCCCTGCGCGGGGTGCTACCCACCCTGCCGGACGACGCTCGACTCACCAAGATCGAGACGCTGCGCTTCGCCTACAACTACATCTGGGTGCTCACCGAGACGCTGCAGATCGCCGACCAGAGCATGCTGAGCGGCGCCGGCGTGTGCCGCCCGACGCAGCAGCAGATCATGCGAGCTGCCTGGGCTGCCAGCGGCGGCGGGGACAGCTTGTCTCCCGCATCCTCGTCCTCCTCCTCCTCCTCGTCGTCGTCGTTGTCATCCATCGCTTCCTCGGGCTCCCCCGCCTCGAGACCCTGCAGCTCCCCAGACTCTGACTTCGAGTCGCTGTGCAGTCCGATGCCGGCCGACGTCAAGTGCGAGAATCTGCTGCTGAGGTCGTCCTTCCCCAACGGGACGGAGTTCCTGCACAACGCTTCGTTTGTCGATTTCATCTGACCGCGCTGACTTGTTTGCGTCGCGTCGTTTAGTTCCAATTCGTTTGTTGCCGTTGTTGGGTAAAGGTGATCCCCCAAGTGGTTTGTGAGCATCCATGATAGAGGTTTTTTTGTTGGCTGGGTTAGATCGCGTAAATATATAAATGTGTCGTTAAACCCGCCACCACCCGACACAGCCAACTAGTAAGGGTTGTCACGTAAACAGAACGTGGCCAATTCGTTAACAGTACAGCACTAACCGGTGTGTTGGAGAGCAAAGCCACAACATTTACAATCTGAGTACGACGTTTCGCCAGTAAATACAACTAGCTTGTGTTTTTATAAAATTACGCGATCTAACCACCCCCCAAAAAAACCGTGTATTGTGAATGATATTGGTCGCGAAAGCCTGCGACATGTTAAACTAGGTGAGCATCGTTCGAACGGTGCCTTTAACGTCCGCGCACCTGTGGGTTTGATGAATCGATGACCGACCCTGCCAAAAGTGGCGGTGGCATCGACGGCTTAGTGGATGGCACTTGGATTGCTGTGGTGGCCACTCTTGGGGCGACAAGATGTGAGCATGTGCCCTCAATTGTGAAGCCTTAGACGGCATGGCATTCCACATCACAGCATTAGACGACTTACCCCGTGATGTTAATATTTTGATTGTAATTGTTATTTTTATAAAACACAATATATAAATATATATTTTTATTTTATTGTATTTTTAGAACGTGGTCTTCGGCTGGCAAGCAGCGAACAACTCGCCTTAATAATAATAATTTATCAAATGCGTGACTTAACTTATGTAAAATCATCTCAGGTTATTATTTTTTTGAAAATGCGTACCTTTGCAACGAAATATGTTTCCATTGTCAAAGAAACTTGTCGGCATATTTCGGGAAATATGTCAAATGTGGGGGGGGAGGGGTCTCTTTTTTACATAAAAACACTGAAATATCCTCGCTCTGAGTGTGTCTGTGTCTTTAAGAATGAGGGGTGTATCACTTGATGCAAGTGATGTTTAAAACATCACTATTATTTGCAGCTGCTGCTGCTGCATTGGCACACAAGCACAACCAACAACAACAACATTGACAATTCAACACCTTTGTCGATAACAACACTGTGGCCTTAAATATAAAAAATACATACACATAATAGGGGACATGTCGGCCATTGAGCCCTTATTCACAGTGCATCAGTTTGATAATTGATTTGCTTGACCACTTGTTGGTTCGTTTTAGTTCCCCGAGCAAAGAGTGAGAGAGATGTCACGTGACTCACTAACAAAAAAAAACCAAGATTCTGAAAATTGTTATTTTTTTTATGAAAACAACAAACAAACAACGCTGTTGTCAGCGATGCAAACCACTGGACGCTATTTTGTGTTGGTCAAAAAATAAAACCACCCAAAGAGCCCACTGCAGCTACATTCAAACTTATTTTCAACTCAGCTGCACACTCTCAATAATGTCATGTTTTTCTAAACACTCTCCAACAATCATTGTATTCACAACATAACGATGGCATACGGAACATTGTCCATCCCCCCTTCCCGCCTCTCACCCCCCCACCTCGTCCGGCATATCACGACTCCCCGGGACGTTTGAGATGGAATCGCTCCCACCGGCGACGTTTTTTTTTCGATATGCAAATGTCGAGGAGTTGTGGCCTTTTGAGTCTGGGCGAGCTGGCTGGTGGAGGCTCATTGAGACCGCATTCCGTTGCTTTGTTATTGGCCTCCCTTTTTGGTTCAACACTACATGATCCCACTTGAGTCAGCCCTTAAGTCCACTATTAGAAATCTAGGGTGGTGGGTTTTGTTGACGTCTGTGTGTGTGCGTGCGCGCGCGCGTGGGAATGTGCGCGTGTGCGTGGCGGCGCGCGTGTTGAGCCCTCTTTCTTAATTTTGCATCGAGTCCCACCGTACCAGAAGCACCACCACCACCGTACTTTTAGATCATTAACCCAATTACACTCCTTTTGTCCTTCCCCCGTACCTACAATTATTAGCACGCTTGGCTGAGTACGGTGAGATAAAGTTCAACGTACAGACATACCCTACCGAGCAGCAACGCGGCCACTTCAACGTGAAACGCTCTTCTCGGCCACTCGGCCCTTCCCTCGGCCGCTCTCGGTCTCCTCTCTCTCTGGTGTCGTCTTTCAGAGAGACACGGCGTGTGTGCGTGTGTGCGTGCGAGTGTGCTCGCGGTACATTGAGTGTATGTCAAAACTGTGATACGAACCCGGTGACCAGAGTTCTATTATCCAGCCGTGGCTGAAATCAGTTGACGAATGTCTGGATCAGTCCTTGGGCCTCCCATAGATCGACTCAGCCTTAAAACGAGTAAAGGAACGGGTGCGCTGTGTAAACATCACCACTGGGAGAGACAAAGGCAGCCGGGCGTGTTGGCTCTAGCCGAACCGACCCCCTCGTTCCAGCCCTCAAAGGTGCTCAGAAACAGCTTGTGTAGGCTATATAGCGGATATACTCTTTGGTTCTTTCGGTAAAGTCACGTAGGTATAAAATAAAACAATATAAATTAAAATAAATCACGTTTCGAACGCAACACAAGCGTCGCTCATTAGGTGGGCACAACCACAGCAAGACATAACTGCTGAAGTAGGCAAAGTTCAGATCTAGATTAAACAGGGGATCTTTGTCTTTGCGTCTGCGTGTGTTCAATGTGTGTGCCTACGTGTGGATGTGTGTGTATTTGTGTGTCGCATATGTGTGAATGCATCTGAGTGTGTATTTGAAAGTGCGAATGTGCCTGTGCGTGTGTGTGAATGAGAGTGTGTGTATGTTGGACTTGATTCCCACCGTGTTCATCGGAGGTGTAGCATACGTGTGAACGCGTGTCTGCATCTGCGTGTGTATTGAAGATGCGCGCGTGTGTGTCTGTGTGGTGCGGGGGGGGGGGGGGGCGGTCGTGTAGTGTTTAGCGCTACGCTGGTAGTCGCGAATGAGTACCCTGGTGCGCTGTGTAAACATCGCCACCGGGGAGACAAAGGCGGCCGGGCGTTGTCCTGGCCTTCTTACCCCCTCGTGTGCCGTGCCGGCCTTCATGGGTGCTCGCTAACAGCACTTGCACCCCAACAGTCTGTTGAGGCTATACGGGGGATCTTTGTCTTTGCCGTGTATGCACGCGCGTGTGTGTGTATGTGTATGTGTGTATGTGTATGTGTGTTTATGTGTGTGTATGTGTGTGTATGTGTGTGTATGTGTGTGTGTATGTGTGTGTGTATGTGTGTGTGTATGTGTGTATGTGTGTGTGTGTATGTGTGTGTGTATGTGTGTATGTGTGTGTGTATGTGTGTTTATGTGTGTGTGTATGTGTGTGTATGTGTGTATGTGTGTGTATGTGTGTGTGTATGTGTGTGTGTATGTGTGTGTGTGTATGTGTGTATGTATGTGTATGTGTGTGTATGTGTGTGTGTATGTGTGTAGGCGTTGAATAGCATCAATAGACACACAAAGAACAATCCTCCGCTTGTGCTGCGCGCGTGTGTAGCTCAAGTTTGCTCTTTGGGTGCTCCTGGACAAAATCAATGTTAAAAGCGTTTTAAGGCGCGCCGCCCATAGAGAGGATGCGCGGGGAGGCTTTGTGCGGTGGCTGGGCGTGCAAAATCAGAACGAGATTCACATTTTCTGCAGGAGACGGGGCGCTCTGAATGGGTTACACACACGCGCTTGTTGTCCGCTACATTAGAAAATATGCAAAAGGTTTCTCCCCTTTGCCCGATTATGCATGCTTAGCCCCGCTCGTCTTTGTTCCCCTTATGCAGCCGCCGCATGCGGTAACACTTCTCTCGCTATTTATTCGAACAAAAAAAACGAGAAGATAATGTTGTTACGACGAGAACGCGCGCGTGTGTCTGCGTGTGTGTGCGCGTGTGTGTGGGGAGCGGTGGCGCAATGGTTAGCGCACCGCGCTGCGAAACCGGCGACCCGAGTTCGATTCCCGCTCACGACCAATAGCAGTAGGTGGATATTTGAACCGGCCATAGGCCCTCCCCTAGGTCGACTCCGCCTCAAATGGGTACCTGGTGCGATGTGTAAACGTCTGGCCACCCGATCCCTCGTGTGCTGTGCCAGCTTTCATAGGTGCTCGCTAACAGCACTTGCCCAAGCATTACGTGAAGGCTACCGGGAGATCTTTATCTTTGTAGTTTTTAACGTACTCTTAGCACGTGTATTTGTACACGCGGAGATGTATAAACGAGACGGAAACAGACGTGGCTTGTTAATTGTTGGAATGCTATAAATGTTAATATTTTGTTCTAAAAAGGCACACGCAAACGAAAGCCCTTCCACGCGTGTATTTATTTTGTTAATAAAGCATTTCATACTGAGTGCGTTGTGTGAGGATTGTGTTCGGTAGGCACACACCCAGACACTTAGAAAGGGGATAATAAACTACAACAGCAAAAACCGCAGTTGACGTCATCGCGGCGCCTGTGCCAGGCTGGGTGCACTTTGAGTCCACGCAAAATTGTCGCTGCTGCTTACAGGAGGTGACGGGACAGACCCAGGTGCCATGGCTGAGATGACTGGCAAATGTTTCGTCTGTGCCCCCAACTCGCTGTGTTTTAAACCGCCCGGCGCTCCGCTCGTTGTTGTGAGCGTCGCTCATCGGCCCTCCGCTGTTGTTGGAGGGCGACTGCCTCCAACTGCCAAGCAGCAGCAGCGTCCTTCACGAGCGTCCTCCTCTTCCACAGAGGCCGATCTTGACACCGCAAGTCCACTCAGCTCCACATCCTCCCGTACCGCATCAGTCCATCTCTCCTCCAGCCCGTGCCGCGCCCGTTTAGCACCCTCTATCCGACCAAGCTAATATGATAGAGGCAATGAAACTTATGAGATAATGGTTGTACGTGCACAAATCATGTTGAGGAATTTGTGGTTTTGCATGTTTCCACAGTGAATGGGTGAGCCATGTGCTATGCGCTGAAAATCCTTGCACAACAATTGATTGGACTTGTATACATTTCAATACTAAACACATATTATGCGTAATTATATACAGGACAAACAATACGTACATAATACACACAATACTAATTTAGAGCCCTTTGTTAATCCACTGATGAATTCAAGGTTTACCACGCTGGTCAAACCACGAACTTTCATGAACAAAATTTCCAAATGCTTTGGGTTTAGTGCTGTTAGCGATGAATTCAAGGTTTACCACGCTGGTCAAACCACGAACTTTCATAAACAAAATTTCCAAATGCTTTGGGTTTAGTGCTGTTAGCGAAGACCTATGAAGGCCAGACCAGCACGCGAGGAGATGGGTGGCCGACACCACGCCCGGCCGCCTTTGTCTCCCCAGTGGTGATGTTTACGCTCCACACCAGGTACTCATTTGAGGCTGAGTCGACCTAGGGGAGGCCCCGGACCGGTTTAGATAATCGTCACTGGTGTTGGCCGTGAGCGGAAATCGAACTCGGGTGGCCGGGTTTGTAGCGCAGCGCGCTAAACACTACGATTCAGACACACACACGCGCACCTTCAATGCACACACATATGCAGACACGCGTTCACACGTATGCATACACCTCTGATTAGCACGGTTTGCTACGTACGGTGCGATAGAAGTTCAACATACACACAACACGCCCACAAAGGGCACACACACACACTTTAGTCCACGCGTAGTCAACATTCGGCGCGCTAACCGCACCACCACCGCTCCCCCACCGTGCGTTCGTTTTAACGCAGGTGGCTGAGCAAAGCTGATTTATTATGATAACCCGGGTAAAACAAAATAGAGACGAGGTGAGTGGGAAGTGTTGGGGCCTGCGGTATGATGAGTGGGTGAGTGAGCATTTGAGTGTGTCGTTGTGACCTGCGGTGTGGTGAGTAGATGAGTGGGTGAGTGAGTGAGTGGGTTGTTGAGACCGACAGCGTGGTGAGTGAGTTGTTGAGCGAGTGTATCGTTGTGACCTGCAGTGTGGTGAGTGGGTGAGTGAGTGGGTTGTTGAGACCTGCAGTGTGGTTAGTGGGTGAGTGAGTATTTGAGTGAGTGTATCGTTGTGACCTGCAGTGTGGCGAGTGGATGAGTGAGTGGCCGCGTGAGCGGGTTAATGAGTGAGTGAGTGAGCGCGTTGTTGAGCGAGTGCGTTGTTGTTGGGACGTGCAGTGTGGTGAGTGGGTTGTTGAGACCTGCGGTATGATGAGTGGGTGAGTGAATGGGTTGTTGAGACCTGCAGTGTGGTGAGTGGGTGAGTGAGTATTTGAGTGAGTGTATCGCTGTGACCTGCAGTGTGGCGAGTGGATGAGTAAGTGGCCGAGTGAGCGGGTTAATGAGTGAGCGCGTTGTTGAGCGAACGCGTTGTTGAGCGAGTGTGCACGACGAGACGACCAACACCGAGGGTGGCTGTTGCCACAAGTAAGTACACCGCGCGCGCGTGTGTGTGTGCACCTTTTACGCACGTGCCCCCCCATCCCCACTTAGCCAGCTCCGCGTTCCTCGCCTCCTCGGCTGGGCTGGGCTCGCACCGGCGTGCGAACCCTGCGGTCTCGCGGCCTCCTGATTGACACCATGCTCGCCCCTCGCATTTTTTGGAGCTGTGGAGGCGTCTCCATAGCGTGCGCGCGACCCACCCAGCGAGGCCGCCGCGGACACAACGAGCAATTAACATTCAGGCCGTGCGGAGGGCATTGATCACTCGGGGGGTGGGGGGGGGCTCGGACAAGCGGGGGTGGGTGGGGTGGAGTGGATGGGAGGCTCACGCAGATCCTTCCTTGTTTTTTTCCACCCCTTCCTAAAGTCACTCCCGGTGCCAGCGCATGAGATCGCCCTCCCTGCGATTCGCTCCTCCACCGAGGCTCCAACTGTCCACCCTACAAGTCGCATCACGCAAAAACAGCTACGCCATGGCAACAGCAGCAGCAGATGCGGATAAACTGATTACACAAATTGAAACTAACAGAAAACAACAACTTTCTAGTAGTAGTAGTGGTGGTGGTGGTGCGACTGTGGGTCATCCCGAAGAGACCCTGACAACAACAACAACGATGTAACGACGACGACGCAATGCCCCGATTCACAAACATTCGGAGAGGAGACACATCACAGCGACGATACACTCCCGACGCTGTCTTGGCGACCTCAATGTGATCTTGTCGTGGTTCTTCCGCCGTCTCCATCATCGGCAGTACGACAGAAGAAGAGGAAGACTCCCCGAGCTGAGACATTCCACCTCCCTTGGGCGTTTTGTCCAGAGGGGGAAAAAAGAATTGCACCGCAATGCGACGTTGCTGTGATCGTTTGGAGATGGGTTATGGTTGTAGGAATCGTGTGGCTACTTCTGTGAAGGGAGCGGTCGCGTAGCGGCGCGCTGCGCTACGAACCCGCCGACCCGAGTTCGATTCCCGCTCACGGCCACCACCGGTGACGATTATCTGGACCGGTCATGGGCCTCCCCTAGGTCGACTTAGCATTAAACGAGTACCTGGTGCGATGTGTAAACATCGCCACTGGGGAGACAAAGGCGGCCGGGCGTGGTGCTGGCCACCCACCCCCTCGTGTGCCGTGCCGGCCTTCATAGGTGCTCGCTAACAGCACTTGCCCCAACAGTCTGTTAATACATTACGGGGAATCTTTGTCTTTGTGGTGGCGTGGTGGTTCGCGCGCTGTGCTACGAACCCGACGTCCAGAGTTCGATTCCCGCTCACGGCCACTACCAGTGACGATTATCTGGACCGCTCCTGGGCCTCCCCTAGGTCGACTCAGCCTCAAATGAGTAGCTGGTGCGGTGTGTAGTAAACATCGCCGCTGGGGAGACGAAGAGGCGTGATGCCACCCGCCCGCCCCATCGTGTCGCGTGGCGGCCTTCTTGCCCAAAAGCGTGTTCAGACTACATGGGGGATCTTTGTCTTGTTCATCACTATATTTGACCATACCTCACCCACGCTGGGTCTGAGTTAACACCTGAGCCTGTATTTTAGGTGGGGTTATGGATTGGTTATGAAGGCGACTTCATAACCAATCGGTAACCTCACAGCAAATGAGACCACTATGACACAACTTGGAATTCAAAGTGGAAACTTTTATTGAAATCATCATCATCATAACAAAACAATAAATCACATGCAGACTCTTAGAAATCCACTGCTGGGATGAAGCCCCCCCCCCCCCCACACAAACACGCAATGTTGGTCACGTGGCTTGTTCGACCATACTTCACCACGCCAGTCAAACAGAGCGCAAAAAAATCCCGTGAACATAAACCGATATAACACGCCGCATTGCAAAGAGCCGCCGTGACCTAACAGCAATCGCCGAGGTAGAAAAATTCCCCACCCCACCCCCCCGATAAGAAATACGAATCGGACTTGTAAATAACGCCCGCAGCAAGCAAGTGCATCGTGCATTGCGTGTAATCGTTTGACGCCAACGATTTGCCCGAGACGAAACGCCGACTTGTAAACGAAGCCGATGCCCACAGTGAAAGGCACCAATCCCATACCCCTCCACCCCCCCCCCCCCGCGATGACTTGTTTCTCAAGCCCAAACCTTTAAGTCTTGATGACCAGCCCACCGCAGAAATGCTTCTCGTAACAACGCCCCCCCCGTAACGATTCCCAACAACGTTTAGTGTCAATGGCGCGTGCATGTGTCCACATCCACTGCAGCGCAACTCGAACGCGGCTTCGTCGTGTCCCCCCCCCGCCCCACCACAACTCCACCCTGCACAATATGGATACGCCGGGTTCTCCAATGAAGTTGCCCGCATTAACACGATGGAGTTGAAATTAAAAACGACCTGCACGTCACTGGTTACGGAAACGCGTGTCCATCATCTTGCGGAGAAAGAAGAGGTCGATTTAGAAATGTTGACACACTCGGGAGAGAAACAAGAGGCATTGCAAGGACTTCTCGTGTTATCTTATATCGGACTTTGTTTTGATAACATTTTAGTCGTTTGAGCTTTTTGTTTTTGTGGCATTTCTTAACTTAATTGATTTTGCTTAGTAGTAGGGTTTTTATTTGCTTGGTATGTACGTGTGTGTGTGTGGGGAGCAGTGGTGTAGCGGTTAGCACGCTGCACTACGAACCTGGCGACCCGGGTTTGATTCCCGCTCACGGCCAACACCAGTGACGAGGTCGACTCAGCCTCAAATGAGTACCTGGTGCGGTGTGTAAACATCGCCACTAGGGAGACAAAGGCGGTCCGGCGTGGTGCTGGCCACCCACCTCCTCGTCTACCGGTCCGGTCTTCATAGGTGCTCGCTAACAGCACTTGCCCCAACAGTCTGCTAAAGGCCATACGGGGGATCATTGTCTTTTTGTGCTGGGCCTATTTCGCGCCGTGCAAAGTCTACCGCATATATGGGATTTGGTCCTTAAAAATAATTAATGTACAGCGTTTTGGGATGCTGTTGGCATGAATGGCGCTATGTAAAATGAAAGCATTATAATTAATAATGCGCCTTAGTCCAAGGCACTTGCACACGCTCACCTCATGGAACTCGTTACCCCATCTGTGCAGTCCAATACGTCACATATCTGACCCGCTGGGAACTGAGGTATGGGGGGTTATGAGGTTGCACAAACAAATGAACCACAACATCTTGATGATTTCGTCAAGGAGCATAAACCATCATCACGCGAACTCCAGGTCATCCTTGGCTCGCCATCGAACAAAGATGGTCACTGGCATCGCGTGCTTTCAGGTGCGCTTCTGCGGCCGTCTGGAACGCTCTTCTGATATTCGGAAGCCGCTGGAGCTATGCACTTTTAAATCTAGATCGAAAACTACATTTCTTCAGAAACTGCTTTTTCGTGTATTTGTTGTCTTTCTCCCAGACCTCCGATTAGCACGTTTGGCTACGTACGGTGCGAATGAAGTTAAACATATATACATGCAGACAAGCATGTGAAATATGTCGGGCATGTCAACATCTTTACGAAATGACAGTTACACACCACGTGTAACCAGGTGACTGGACAAATTGCAAAACCGCTCCTAACGTGGGAAGATGCTTCACCGTGAATTATAGCCGAGTGGATATACGTGTGGTTGAGGATGTCACGTTAACAGCGTGTGACACGGCCGGATATATGAACATCTAGAGAAAATGACGGTTACACCAAAGTGCACAGATACTGCACTGGGCGCGGGAGGTGAATTGGTTCACGGTGGATACGCGATGTTATATTTTACGTAGCTGGTTTACGTAAACTGGTCTAAAGTAAACCCTGCAGCCACTAGGGTCTCTGCATTCACCGCCAGAGCAAAGACAAAACAGAAACAAAACCCAGATCGATGCTTGAATCAAATCTCCACGAAGATTCGCGAAAATTCTCGACACATCGTTGCAATATGTCCGGTGAATTTCGTTCATGAGTTCATGGTGTATTGCCCTGGCGGTGGTCTCTTTAAGTCCAGGTCGTGACAGATGTGGTTGCACTCTGCGTGCTGCTTGTCCCAGAATTTGTGGAACCCTCTCTGGCCATAGTCCACCGAATCATTCAAATCTTTGAACCAAGAGTGGACGAGAGGATCGGTCAGATACATGAGGCCCGTGCCATCCATCGTGGTCCAGCCTGCAACACACACGCACACACAATATTAAGCACTAAACTATAAAAAAAAAAAATATTTTACCAGGGAAGTCCCACTGAGCTATACAGATTTTTTTTCAAAAGCGACCTGGCCACAAATCGTAGCTCAACGAAGTGGCTTATCAAGTGGAAATGTTTCACGGCCAAATACTCTAAACGTATGTTTCTGAACGTGGAGGGAAACACGACACAAAAAACTGGGCTTTACCCCTATTTACCTGCCATCAAAAATGAGGTGTTAGGATGTTCAAACACTGAGTAGACACCGATTACAAGGCATCACGCTTGCTCAGCCACGCATGCTTGTCGCGAACGAACGCAAACAGAATATCGCTTTGACGATGTGAGCACTGTCCTTGAAGCCGATTGGTCTGTGCCAGAGAAGGTCTCCTCCTCACGAGCGCTTGACCAAGGCAGGCGTACGCGTTACATTCCGTGGGCCAGAGGAACATTTGATACCACTGAAGGTGGCAAATATTTAAGAAGGTTGCGGTGCCAGCTACCGTGGCGTGGAAGATGGCAGCCTTCACGCGGCGCACTCTGTTAAGCGAGGCATCACGACCAGCGCCATCAACGCGGCGAACGAACGGCGACAACTGATCTCCTGGGTCTCAGAGCAACAACACCAGTTACCGCATGTGGCTAATAGAAGTTAATTATATGCGAGCATAATAATTATTATTCTAATTAATGATTGTGTCGCTTGTTTACCCGCAAAGGCCTCGCTGAGTCTCAAGACTCCTTCCTGGAAGCTTGCTCACAGATTTATGCCGGAGGAGACCAGGTTGTTTCATGTACTCCCGATTCGATTTGTGGATAATTTTTGCACCATTTTGGGATGTTTAGCCACAGCCAATTACATTATACATTTTTTTTATTTCGCGATAATTTTTTTCATTTACGGGAGTAAACTGGAAAACCAGGAGAAACTGCGTTTTAAACAGGGGGGGGGGGTGATCGTGCAGTCTCTACACAGAAAGGGACCCAGATCGAGCGTAGACCATCTACCGGACATCTGTGAAAAAGATCTCCATAGCTCATCGGACTCCCGCAGTATCAATCAATATTCTGATTCTGATCGAACCCAGGCCCTTCTTGCTGCGAGGCGCAAACGTTCCAGCTTCGCCAGCACGACGCCTGATAACTTGACTACATAATTTACTTTTATTGCAGATATCACGACGAGCGTATAGTTCAAGTCTTTCCACATCAGATCCTACCACTAAGTAACATTTTATGTCTGGGCCCATCTGCTATTGAACCGATCCTATCAGTTTATATTTAAATGATGGGAAAGCCATCAGAGGGAAAGGTGCGTACTGGATGGAAACACGAGCAGTAACAATAACACACGCAACTCAGCTGATTCCTAGATGGCAGAAGGCTCCATTGCGACCATTGCATTTGTCTTTCTATCATGCCTCAGAGTTAATGTGACATCACCACACAATGACAAAGATCCCCTGTATAGCCTCAACATACTTTTGGGGCAAGCACTGTAAGCAGCGAGCATGCAGTGCAGGACATCACCACGCCGCACGTCATAACCCACACAGCCTCAAATTAGACCACAAACTGAAGAGAGACATATTTGCGCCCATATGACATCTCTAAAATAGCATGGCCATCAGCATCGGCAGTCATGATCAATCCACTGCTGGATGAAGGTCTCCCCAAACTGCCGCCCACCTCTCACGTCCTCCAATGCAGTTATCCGCCTAGCATCTGCACAAGAAACTGATTTCAACGTTCCATCTCCTCAGTGAACGTCCACTCCGGAATGCGTTTAATTCCAATTCCAATTCTGAAATGCTCTTCCTTCCGATATTGGGTAGCCACTGGAGCCGTGCACAAACGAACAAGTGTTTACACGCGGGAGGAAACTGGAACACCCGCAGAGAAGCCACGTGTGCGAGGGGGAAACACTCTACCCCGTACAGACGGAACAGGTCGAATCCATGTTTCGTCTGCGCCGCCTTCTCCTGCCCAGTCAGGGAATGCGGCTGTTCGACACCCACGGGTATAGAGTCTCACAACATCTGTGCGATCCGCCAACCCTCACCTCCGCAGCGTTGGATTACAGGCGGCGTGCACAGCCACCAATGTCACCCGTGCAAAATTTAGATGACGATGGTAAAACAAAAAAAAATCGAGGCGGGATTTGATGAGCGTTCGCTCCGCTTACCCTGCAGGTCAACGATGATCTCCGATCCCTTGGACAGGTCGTAGGTGAAGTGGCTGAAGGCGATGGCGTACGGCGCCGCGGGGACGTTTCTCTTGTACACCTCCGAGTTGTTTGTTATTTTGGCGAAAGAACCCTCCATGTAGGGCTCCGCGTTCATGCAGGCTCGCACACGTCCACTGTCATCCAACATCTGCCGGGGGTTTGGGAGGGACGCGGAGGGAGCAAAGCCGTTAGGTTTTGGCAACGCTTTGTTACGCTGATTGGGAAAATCGGACTGAGTTTTCGCAGAATAATTTTTATAGCAGCAGCAGAAGGTGGCAGCAGAAGAACCCAAAAACTAATTCTGAGTTTTTGTTTATTCATTTTGTTGTTGTTTTTATTTTATTATTTTCTATCTACGTGACTTTGCCAAAAGAGGGTCGGGCGTGTCTAAAAAGTAACAAGGGGTGCTGCGGTGGCGAGATGTTAACTGCCTCGCCTGGTATACAGGGGGTCGTGGGTTCCATCCCCAGCCTGACGCCTGTACATTTGGAGTTTGCGCGTGTCTCTCTCCACGTGGTCGCGTGGATTTTTCTCCGGGTCCTCGGGTTTTTCCTTCCACATTTAAAATCAACATGCGTTTAGAGCATTTTGCTGCTATGAAATCCCACGTGATAAGCCCACTTCGTTAAGCTATCATTTGTTACGGCCAGGTCGCTTCTGAAAAACCGCTCTATAGCTCAGTGGGCCTTACCTGGTAAAATAAAAAACTGTTTAGTTTTATAACAATTAAAATATTTTCGTATCAACGGCTCGGCGGATCGGCGCGGTGCCTAGCTGCGATCAGCGTGCGCGTGCGTGCGTGTGTGCGTGCGTGCCCACGCAAACCAGCAACAGGGTGGCGGGCATGTAGTAGATCTGGGTGGGGTGTTTCTTCTTGAAAAGCCGCTGATTGAACTCGGTGACGTAGTGCTGCGCCGTCGCCTGCCGCACCACGTTGTCCACGTAGTAGCGCGCCTCCCGCTCGCGCTTGTAGCACTTCCCCACGTAGCTGTCGCACGGTGGCGCGGGGGGGGGGGGTGGAGGACAGGGGGGGGGCAGGGTAGCGGGAGTGGGGGGGATAGCGTCGCACCCCATCGTCACAACGCCGCGACGCACCATCTCGGTCTAAACTATTCATGTAAACTATTTTGTATTTTACTAGGTAAGGCCCACTGAGCTGTATAGCTCTTTTTCAGGGAGCGACCTGGCCAACAAATGATAGCTTAACTAAGTGGGCTTATCACGTGGGGGATTTATAGCAGCCAAATACTCTAAACCAATGTTGATTCTAATTGTGGATGGAAAAACCGGAGGACCCGGAGAAAAATCCACACGACCACAGGGAGAGAGACGCGCCAACTCCAAATATTCAGCAGGCGTCAGTCGGGATTGGACCCACGACCTGCTGTACACCAGGCGAAGTAGTTAACATCTCGCCACCGTGGCGTCCCGTCAGGGGACAGCGGTAACACAATGTGAGGAGTTAAAGGGGCAGCACTGCAATTGCTTGCTCACGCCACTGCTGGAAGAAAGGGGCCTCCACCAGAGGGGGCTCTAGAGAGGCACCTCTCCAGGGTACCTTGGCCTCTTCTTCCACGGTGGTCACACGTTCTTGGTAGAGGTGAAAGTACCCACATTTTACCCCACGGAGCGCGAGAGATTTAACAAAAACCCGCACCACTCTTTTGTGAATCAAATGAAACCAGTGACCTCTGCTGGAGGCCTTTCCACCCGCAGTGGCGTGTCTAAAGACGTACGTACGTGTGTCTTACTTCTGTCACACCGTACGTAGCCAACCGTGGCAATCGGAGGTGCGAATCGTGTCGAGGCCCCACTTTTTTCTTCAACAATTATTATTATTTTATCATCATCATTACTTGAGGAGCAGCTACTCTTAGGTTTTTTCGGTAAAGTCACGTAGGTAAAAAATAAAAAAAATGGCTTGGCAGAGATGAAAGGAAAGGGGAGGGGGGGTTAGCGTGGGGAAAGGACACGGGCGAGCAAGTGGAGACCCTCACCGGGCCAAGGCCTGCTCCTGGTGGAGGTACTGCACCCAGAATGCATCGCGCTGCTGCCCTCGCACGTTGGCAGGCAGCTGCAGCCGGGCCCCGATGTGCAGCAGGGTGCGGTGGCCCGCCCAGCGGTCCGCCGACCGGTTGTACGTCAGCACCATCGCCACTGCACCCCACGCAGCGACAGCAGAGCAAACACCACAGTGAGCGTGCAGGATGCGTGTGTATACACATATGTATATACCGAATGTACGAGTGGCGCATTTCTACAAACGTACTTTATATCAGCGTTGGCCTCGCAACTTTCCAATAAAACACCCCTTGAAAAACTGGAATATTTGAAAACACGCTTACCCCGTTTAGCGCTACCCAGTACAACGCTGATTCGTTCTGGAGCGGTTTGTTTTCGGGCACATTTTTATTTAAAATAAAAAAAAATATGCAGTATATGTGATGGAGAGTTTGTAAAAATAATGAGGATGGAAAGCCGTACTTGAATTAACGCGGTGTTCGCTCTCATCCAAATACTTACAGTATTAGCGCCCTTTTACGCTGTCCGCCCTCAGCCAATGAGCGAGCGTTATCATACTCGAGTTGGCGCGGCGTTCGCTTTCCGCCATTGAGCGCTTTCCTCTAAAAGCAGGGGGTGCCTAGTCACAGATTGGACTGCACCACCAGGCACAAGCTGTAACCCCCATCTTGTCTCCCAGCGCTGCCAAGTTCGCATTGGTGAGAACACTGTTTTTAATTATTTCAAAATTTCGTACCATTAACAGTATTTATAAATCATGTTTATCATCTGTACTATTGTTCCAATAACTCAATGAATCCCTAATGTGTTGGTCGTAGGTGATAAATTACGATGTCGGGAACACATCTCCATCGGGCCTATGCTATAATGACCCCGTAGAACACCGATTCACCGAGCACTCTCGTTTGCAGGCACGCATCCCCCACACTAAACGGGGTATGCCTGTATTTGGATTCAGCACCCTTCGAAGCCTCCAGATATGTCAACAAAACAACTAATCATTTTGGAGCCCCAATATATATATTTTATAAAGTCTGATTTCATGTTTGGATCCGGCATCCCTCTACACATATAAACTTTACAAGGCAAACTTTCATCTTACTGGGCTCCAAAACTTTGGAGGAGCCAATTGATAAAAAAAAAATCGGTCCCATCCACTAAACTACACTTGTCCCGATATAAACGTAGACGAATTTTTTTTTTGTCAAAATAAAAAGCAATCCAAATCTCACAATGAACCGTGTTCTCCTCGACCAGAGGCATCGGGCCTTTCCCTTCCAACATCTTCTTCAGCTCGGCCGTGGTCATGTCCATGGGCGACAGCTCGCCCTCCGCCCCGGCCGCCTCCTCGGGCAGCATCGACCGGCCTTGACCATCGTCGACGAAGGAATAGTCGACCGTCTCGAACGAGCTCGAGCTCCCGGAGCTCCCGTAGCTCCCGGAGCTCCCGGAGCGCCCCGGCTTGTCGCCGAACGCCCTCGACGCTCTGAACGCGGCCCTCCTCGCGGTGGAGCCGACCGCGCTCAGAGCGTCCCCCGGGGGCAACCCTTCGAAGGAGCCGCCCGATGGCTCGGCAGAGCCGCCGCCGCGGCCCCCGGGCCCCTCCGTCGGCGGGTCAGTGCTCGCGTCGCTCTTCACCACCTCGAACGACGAGCTCCTGTCGGAAGCCGCGGCCGGCGACGCGCGATGCCGGGCTTCCGCTCCCCTCGGCGCGACCGCTTCGTCTTCTGCCGTCGGGAGGTCCACGTCGACGTCCGTGGCAGCGCCCGGGAGCGGCTCGTCGTCCGGCGCGGACGCGCCACCGGCAGGGGCCGCCGGGCGGCCGCGAGACAACGGCGGCGGTGGCGGGAGGTTCGAACCGTCGCCTTCGTTCGTCTCTGCGTCCAGATCCAGCAGGCCGAACGAGCCGCTCCTCTCCGACGAGGCGGGAGACGGCGGAGGGGGCGGGAGACGGCGATTGCCGTCCGCGGTGCTCGGCACGTCCCCCGTCGGCGGGTCGACGTCCCTCGTGCTCGACCCTCGGCCCCCCAGCTCACCGGGCGCGGAGCCTCGCTGGGGTCGTGGCGCGGCGACCGGATCTCCGTCGTCCGCCTGTGGGGGCTTCGGCGTCGACGGTGGCGGCCGCGGCCGCTGCGGACTTCGGTGGAGCCTGTCGCCCCGCTCCGTCGCGAGCCAACACGTCGACAACGAAGGCGTCTTCCGTGGCCAGGTCGGGGTCCACGGTGCCGTCCGGGTCCGCTGCGGCCATCTCGCGGCGGTCACGCCCCGCGGCTTCTCCCGCCGCACCTCCACCGGGGGCGACCGACGCTTGTTCCGGCTCCTCCGAGCCAGCCGTGGCAAGCGCAGCGTCGACGACCTCAGCGGAGGACGCCCAGCCTTCCGGAGACACGCGAAGGCCCTCCACCATCTCCGTCACTTCCTTCACCGCCGCCGCCGATGACGATGCCGACGACGATGGTTGCCCGGCACCGGCATCAGCGCCGGCGTCTCCGCCGCCCGTCTCGACGAACACAAACGAGCCGCTGCTGTCGCTGGCAGCGAGTGAGGGTGCCGCCGGCCGGTGCTCGGGAAGGGACTCGAGGCTCCACTGCTTCCCGGACTTTTGCACCACCCCCCAGGATCCGGTGGAGCTCTGGCTCCGCGACTTGCTGGCGCCGGAGACGCCGGAGATACCCTCACCGCACGACGACCGTCCGCTGCTCCCGCCGTCGCTGCCGGACCGGGCGTCGCGTGCCGCGTATCCCACGAGCGACGCGATGGGCTTTTTCGCGCAGCCCCGCTCGTCCGCGTCGCCCGTCCCGCACGCCTCCGTCGTCGCCGTCGTGATGCACAGAGCCGCCGCGCCGCCGTCTCGCGCGTCGCTCGGCCTGCGGAATTCCTCGCCCTGCTCCGGCGCCCGGAACAGGGAGGAGGCCTTCGCTCGCAAAGCCGCGGCGAACTCCTGCGTCCTCCCGAGGACCTCGTAAGCCTCCGCGTCCTTGTAGCGATCGGGCACGAAGGAATCGGGATCCTCCGTGCGGTTCTCGCTCCCGGCGTCCGCCTCTTCCAGCAGCTCCAGAACCACCCGGTCAATCTCTCCCTCCGCCGCTCCCGTGCTGGAGGCGGCGGCGGCCGTGTCCGCGGCGGCCGGGCCCCGTCTTCCCGGGCGCGCGGCGGCCTCGGCCGTGCCCAGCAAGCGCAGGAGCCGCGCGCACGCGTGGGCGCTTAACCCCGCGCTGACCCGGCCCCCCGCGGGGAGGCCGGGCGGGCGGGCGAGGCGGCGCGCCACGGAGAGGTTAAACGCGGCGTAAATAAAGGCGTGCAGCGGCGTTCGGCCCGTGACCGCCCCCCTGCCGCGTCGCGTCAGGAGGCACACTTCAAAGGCGGCGGCGGCGTCGGCGGCGCGGGCTCGCCGAGCGTCGTCGGGCACGCGCGGGAGCTGGCTGTAGGAGAGCAGGCAGGTGCCGCAGCGGTTCTGCAGGTTCACAGGCAGACGGACAGGCAGCCGCAGGGATTAGCGAAGAGCCACGACTCTGTGTAGGATGCTGGGGCGCGGTACTGGACTGGTTCATTCATTCGTCACTGGTGTTGGTGACCGTGAGCGGGAAGTGAACTCAAAGCACAGCGACGCTAACTGATGCGCTACCGCTCCCCACAGTTGGCTCTGTACTGTGCGAAAGAAGTCGAACGTACATACATACGTACGCACACATTTGTTGATCTATGCAAGTCGGGAATTCTGATTTTAGCTGGGAAGCAGTGCTGTGTCACTGTAGGCAGTGAAGCCAGCAGAAGAGAAGCAGTTTAAGTTAATTTTGTTTAAAATCAAAACTGAAAGCGAAGTGATCATCAAGAATGAGTAAACATAAGCAGTGAGCATCCTCCTCTTTCAGATGCAGTATTGCCGTTTGCTTTTCTCTTTACCATTACCAATCAGGTGTAAGGATTAATTTGCCTTGTAGCAAAGGTAGTTAAGGTTTTGTACTTTTGTAAAAGCTTTGCTTTTTTTTGTCTAGTTAAGACCAACTTGCAACCAGTGGACGGCTGCATAGATTATGAAAACAAGGGACTCGTTTACACACAACACGCACACAACACACGCACAACACTCACACAACACACACAATAAAACACATACAACACACACACACAACACGCACGCAACACACGCACAACACCCCACACAACACACACAATAAAACACATACAACACACGCACAACACACACAATAAAACTAATACAACACACAGACACAACACGCACACCATACACACAATAAAACACATACAACACACAGACAACACGCACACAAGACGCACACAACACGCACACAACACGCACACCATACACACAATAAAACACATACAACACACAGACAACACGCACACAAGACGCATACAACACGCACACCATACACACACAATAAAACGCATACCCCAAATTAGGCACACAACGGGTTTCCGCTTATTTACGTAATATTTTTTTTTGTATTCGCTTTGATTTACCAACAAATTGGAGTCAAATAAACATCGCTCATTCAAACAAAAAATTATCAAATTGGCAAAACCGGATAACTTTTGTGCTCTTGTAGAAGGTACCGCGAAAGCAAAGCGTGAATAAATCCAGCACAGTGCACGAGGAGGTTGCTGGGCCAGAACAATGCAGGTCGGACCACCTTTGTCTTCCCAATGTTGATATTGACCACACTGTACCAGGTACTTATTTTAGGCTGAGTTGACCTAGTGGAATTCCTGACAAGGTTCAGATTCCAACTGCCCGCTCGTGTTGTGCATCACGGCCAAGGAGTTGAACGCGAGTAACTGGGACAGAGGCACTGTGTGTTCACGAGAGTCACTGGACCACCACTCGTCATGCCGCTATACCCAAGTCTACACAGGCTGCTGGGGCAAGTGCCGAAAAGCACTTGCCAGGCCGAAGGCCGGCACGGCACACGAGGAGGTGGCGTGGCCGGCACCCCAACCTGGCCGTCATCGTCTCCCCAGCGGTGATGTCCAAGTGCTGATTTAAGGCTGAGCGGACCTCGGGGGAAGCCTACGACCAGTTCAGATACTCGCCACTGACGTCAGCAGCCGTGAGCGGGAATCGAACTCGGGAGGCGTTTGTTCTTGAAGCACAGCGCGCTGACCGCGACGCTGCCGCTCCCCACACAACACACAGGCTGGTGGGGCAAGTGCTGTTAGTGAGTATCACCTATGAAGGCCGGCACGGCACACGAGGGGGTGGGTGGCCAGCACCACGCCTGACCGCCTTTGTCTATTTACTCATTTGAGGCCGAGTCGACCTAGGGGAGGCCCTGGACCGGTCCGAGATAATCGTCACTTGTGTCGGTGGTCCGCGAGCGGGAATCGAACTCGGGCCGCCGGGTTCGTAGAGCAGCGTGGCGCTAACCGCCGCGCCGCCACTCCCCAAAGACGACGCACAGACACACAGACACCACACGCACTGGGAGTCGTCGCATAACCCGTGGGCGCGGTAAATCAACAGCATTCACCGCGTTCCAGCCTAGCAGGGAGCGGGGCGATCGCACAACGGCACAGCGCATGCCCAATCAGTTCCTTCATCAGCTTATCATGAAAAATCTATTCAGCGCAAAGTTGCATTTTACGTGCAAAATTTATGTACCTGTGTCGTGCATATAATGAGTTGTCCCGCGGCGATCTCGGCTTTATTGTTTTGTCTTTTTTTGTTGCTTAGGTCCCTCTCTCTCTCTCTCGTTCTTCTCTTTGCTGACTGCCTCTTCCCCACACCCACCCACCCCCGTACAAAAAAAATGGGGATAGCACCCCTGCAGATGTCCTTGTCCCCGAGTCCTTTATTTTGCTGCCTGTTCCCTCTACCAACTTTTTGCTTGGATAGAGCGCTCGGCACGCTGAATGGAGGTTTTATTGCACGTGCATTGGACACGGAGTTTCAACATGTAATAAAACCTCAATTCATTTTTCATGCCAAGTTCCGCGCACAATGTGGAGCATACTGCCCGCGTCAACCGCCGCCTCCCTTTTGAAGCGACGCGACAAAAAGATAAAAAATTTACGGAGCTTCGGCTTTCGATGGGGGGGGAGGAGGGGGCGGCGGGGGGCGGCGGTGGGGAGGGGAGTGGGGGAGGCTTGAGGGTTCGGGGGTTTGAGTTGAGCTCGGCTTGGGCCGCGCGTCGGACCACGGCGGCGGTCGCGGGGGCAGCGTGGGGAGCGTCCGTCCGTGGGGTCGCGAGCAATACGCCCGGCCGCCTTTGTTTCCCTGGTGGCAGTTATTTGCACACCGCGACCGGGTGCTCGTTTCGAGGCCGAGTGGATTTGTGTGGGTGATGAAGGCTTTGCCATTGCAGCACCGACCTTTATAGAACAACCTTGTTTCCTCCTTTAACAACGCTGTTGACAACGCTGTTGACAACGTTGGTGTCCTTCCCCCGCACCTCCGACTAGCACGGTTGGCTACGTACGGTGCAAAAGAAGTTCCACACACGTACGTACGCAAATATTCCTTCACAAAATATCTGCCGGAGACAAACGCATTTACCAATGTGATTTGTAACTTTCATCGTTACCCATGTATCAATAGTTACATTTTAATGTCTAATTTTATTGAGAGACTGTGTGGTCTGGGACTGTTGTTGCTGTTGTTTTGCTGCCTTGCCCAAGATTGGGAGTTGGTGTACTTATGCAATTTGAACTTGTATGCTTTATCTATTTTACGTATTTATTTTTAGTAATTTACTTTCCGAAGCTTTCCACGCCGATCGTCTTTTGTGTTGTTTGTCGTAACCATTCTGACCCCGTGCCCTCTACTCGACACCTGTAGCTCATCGGATTTCTCCAGGATAAATAAAGATTCCGATTCGAATATATATACACGCACGCACACAACGGGAAAACACAGCACGCGAACGCACGCGGCTACTCGTACGGCATAGCAGAAGGAGCGATGCTGTCCTTGAGGACCGCAACGTTGAACAGCGAAATTATCGAGCCCCAACTTCTTTCACATCGTGCGTAGCCAACAGCGCTCAACGGAGCTGCCAGCCTGGCATTAACCCTCCAACTGCTGCCCTTGACGACGCGGCCCCTAGGATTTAGAACGGCCAACAGGCAGCAACGTAATCCGCTTTAAGGGTTAAACTACCAGTCACATGACACTCGTGCGGCAAAGCTCCTGTTAATATGGCATAATATAAAAAAAGATATATACTGTTCGCGGGAAAAAAATGAGCGTGTGATTTTAAAAAAGCAATTTGTTACATGTGTGGGAAATCGGTGAAGGTCCATCCGTTATTTTTGCCTTAATTTTGATCGAGAGAGAGCCATGGGGAAATGTTGTCGTGAAGAGAGAGGCTTAAGTCTAATGCTCTTAAGTTGTAGTCTGTAAGTGTACTCAAGTGCTTCTGTGTGTGCGTTCTGTATGGTCGGTCGACTCAGCCTTAAATGAGCACCTTGCACTGCACGTAAACATCAGAACTGGGGACACAAAGGTGTCCGGGTGTGGTTATTGGCCATCCACTCTCGCGTACTTGCTAAATGCACGTGCCCCAACAGTCTGTTAAGGCTATAGGGGAGATCTTTGTATATATATATATTTGTGGTGAGTGGTAGTGAAGTGGTTAGCACACTGCGCTACGAATCCAGAAACATGAGTTTGATTCCCGCTCACGGCCCACGCCAAAGAAAATTATCTGAACCGGTCCTGGGCGTCCCCTAGGTCGACTCAGCCTGTGGTGTGTAAACATTGCCACAAGGGAGACAAAGGTGGCTGGGCGTTGTGCTGACCACCTACCCCCTTCTGTGCCGGCCTTGATAGGTGGTCAATCACAGCACTTGCCCCAAGAGTATGTGAAGGCTATACGGGGGATCTTTGCATTTGTGTATATATAAATGTTTGCTCGTATGCGATTGTAAATATGCGATGTTATGTGGCTTAAGAATGTATCAAACATTCGTTTGTGGAATTGCTCAAATGTGCCTGTGCATGCGCTGTATTGATTGATTTATTTAGCGAATGCTTTTACACCGTCTTGATGAAGAGTGTTTATGAAGAGTCCAGGGGGTTTTTTCCGGTAAATAATAATCGGTCATTCACATCGAAGTCTTATTTATCTTAGCGCCGTCTCAAAAAAAAGGTTGGAAAAAAAACCACTGAACAAAACCAACGAAATGAAAGCAAAATTAGAAACGATCCATTCCACGACGCAAAGCGGCACGAATGGGAATCGGGTTATGCCCTCCCCCCTCTCACCACCTCCCTCTCTCGCGAGCTCACGCAACGTCCCCTCTCGAATCGATTTCCCCTCCCCGCTCGCTCCGTCCCTGACTTGACCAACGGCTCGGAGCGCGATGATGAACCGGCGGGGGTCACGAACCTGACTCGCATTGTCCGCCCCGCCCCGTCCGCTAACGCGCGCACCGCTCATAATGAGCCGCTCTGCCGCCGTTGACAACGCTGAGCGATGGCGGCCGAGACATTCGCCTTTTCTTTCTTCTGCCGCCCGTCCGTCGCTTATTGTCGCTCATTGTCGCTCCGGAACGAGAGGCCAACATCCGGCGCTCACTCCTCCCCCCCCCACTCGATCCGGCCGGGGGGAGCGATCGGTTCGGCCAGATTGAGCACAAGGGGTGGAAAAAAGAAAACGAACCCCATAGAAACGAGGATCGGACACGGTGCGCGGCAATGTTCGACATCGATTCTTTTGAGATGCGCCTCGAAGCAATCTATTTGCCGTCCGCTGTCAGACTGTCACGTGTTTGTTTAGCGGCGGCGTGGATGTGTTTCGCTGCTCGTTTACGTGCGGCCCGGGAAGCCATCGCGGGCCGTGACGGTCGGGGTCGAGCCCAACTTGCGTAAGATCGCTGCGTTCGGTTTGATCTCACCGGTGCGGCAGTTGAAATGACTGTGTGAGTTTCTCAAATCTCGACCCATCACCCCCACCACCATCCACTCTGTCCACCAAGCAGTAGAAATGGGTAATCGTAGTAAACAAAACGGTGCAAAAAAACTCTTTTTTTATTTTACCAGGTAAGGCCCACTGAGCTACATAGCTCTATTTCAGAAACGACCTGGCCATCACGAATGATATCTCAACGACGTGGCTTATCGCGTGGGAATTCACCACCAGCCAAATACTCCACACACACGCTGACTCGACATGTGGAGGGAAAACCTGGAGGACCCGGAGATAAATCCAATTCGACCACGGGGAGAACATGCAAACTCCAAGAATACAGGCGTCTGGGTCTGGATCGGACACACGACCTCCTGTATGACATGCGACGGAATCGACATCTCGCCTCACCGTGGCTGACCGGGCAGGCCACGTGTGGTGGGGTAAAGTGAGGGTACGTATACCTATTCCAAGACGTCTGGCCAGAGCGGAAGAGTAGGCCAAGCTACCCTCTGAAGCCCCCTGCGGTGGAAGCCCTTCCACCAGCAGTGAAGTGAACAAGTTAATAATTAAAAGAATGACTCATTAAAAGACTGCATTGCGAGCTGAGAGTCTGATTGAATGAGTGAATGAAGAGCAGATCAAGTGAATGCAGAGGCTGCCTGGCTCGATTAGGGATTTCAATAAACAGGCGGATCTCTGGACGCATGAGTGAATGAACGAATGAGTGAAGGAGAGACGCGCTTACCATGTTAAGCAGCACCAGGCCGGCCACGTATTCCACAAACACGGCCGACAGCTTCGCCGCTTCGGCCGCCGCCAGTAACCGATGCGGTTGCTTCCACACGGAAGCCTGAAAACACACGCACACACACAAACAAAAACACGTCACACACACAAACAAAAACACACGCCACACACAAACAAAAACACACGTCACACAAACAAAAACACACACAAACAAAAACACACGTCACACACACAAACAAAAACACACACACACACAAACAAAAACACACGTCACACACACAAACAAAAACACACGTCACACACACAAACAAAAACACACACACACAAACAAAAACACACACACACAAACAAAAACACACGTCACACACACAAACAAAAACACACGTCATACACACAAACAAAAACACACACACAAACAAAAACACACACAAACAAAAACACACGTCACACACACAAACAAAAACACGCACACACACAAACAAAAACACACACAAACAAAAACACACACACAAACACAAACCAAAACACACGTCACACACACAAACAAAAACACACGTCACACACACAAACAAAAACACACGCACACACACAAACCAAAACACACGCACACACACAAACAAAAACACACGTCACACACACAACAAACACACGCACACACACAACAAAAACACACGCACACACACAAACAAAAACACACACGTCACACACACAAACAAAAACACACGTCACACACAAACAAACACACACAAACAAAAACACACGTCACACACACACACAAAACACACGTCATACACACAAACAAAAACACACACACAAACAAAAACACACGTCACACACACAAACAAAAACACACGCACACACACAAACAAAAACACACACGTCACACACACAAACAAAAACACACACACACAAACAAAAACACACACACAAACAAAAACACACGTCACACACACAAACAAAAACACACGTCATACACACAAACAAAAACACACACACAAACAAAAACACACGTCACACACACAAACAAAAACACGCAAACAAAAATTACAACAAAGATCCCCCGTGTGGCCTTTCCGACAGTTGGGGCAGGTGCTGTTAGCGAGTAGCACCAATGCACACGAGGCGGTGGATGGCCAACACCACGCCCGGCCGCCTTTTTCTCTCCCCAGTGGTGATGTTTACACAATGCACCAAGGTACTCATTTGAGGCTGAGTCGACCTAGGAGAGACCCAGGACCGGTTAAAATATTCGCCACTGTTGCTGGTGGTGAGCGGCAACTGAACTCGGGTCGCGGGGTTTGTAGTGCAGTGTGCTAACCGCTGTGCCACGGCTCCCCATATCACGTGCACATGCACGCATACACAAAAGACAAAGATCACCCGTACAGCCTCAACGGACTGTTGTGACAAGTGCTGTTAGCGAGCACCTATTAAGGCTGGCACGGCACACGAGGAGGATTTGGTGCGGTGAGCACCATCCCTGGCCGCCTTTGTCTCCCCCAGTGCAGCATCATGCCAGGTACTAATTCAACGTTGCATCGACCTACACGACGCCTCGTACAAGTGTGGAGGGCCTCACTTGCCACTGATGCTGCAGTGCATGGCTGGAACATTGAGCCATCGTCCGTCAATGGGCCTGTTGAGAGGCTCTCGCCGACAAGGCTGACTGAACGGCCGTCTATTGGTTTGCTCTTGAACGTAAATCACTGGAGTTTGCTACGCCCGGGCATGTGTGTGTGTGTGTGACACAGCTCAAATGAGTACCTGGTGCGGTGTGTAAACATCGCCACTAGGAAGACAAAGGCGGCTGGGTGTGGTACTGGCCACCCACCCCCTCGTGTGCCATGCCAGCCTACATAGTTGCTAGCTAACAGCACTTTCCCCAAAAGTGTGTTAAGACTATACGAGGGATCTTTGTCTTTATTGATAAAGTAAAAATTAGTGATCTTTGCCGATGTGATACACAATGGGGGAGTAGAAGTGTAGCAGTTAGCACCCTACACTAGAAACCCAGCGACACGAGTTTGATTCCCACTCACGGCCAACACCAGTGACAATTATCTGAGCCGGTCGTGGGCCTCCCCTAGGTCGGCTCGGCCTCAAATGAGTACCTGGTGCGGTGTGTAAACAATGCCACTCGAGAGACAAAGGTGGTTGGGCGTGGTTCTGGCCAAACATACCCTCGTGTGCATGCCGGGCTTCATAGGTGCTGGCTAACAGCCCTCGTCTCAACAGTCTGTTAAAGGCTACGCAGGGGATCTTTGTCTTTGTGATACTCACCGGAACATTTCTGGTGTTTGCCTTCAACTTCTCGTAGTCGGAGTCGCTCATGGAAACCAAAACTTCCGCCAAAAGCCCCAGCGATGAGGATATCCCCTGGAATACAAACGCACGGAAATATTTCGGATTAAACGTCACTCTACGGCTGTTATCACTCGCCTTTGCATCAAGCCGGTGCGGTGGCAGCTTTGCACGTGGCCTGTAGTCCAGCACTACGGAGGCAACCAGGGTTGTCGGATCGCACAAATGTCGTGAAACTCCCTTCACGTGGGCGTCCGAGTGCCATACTCTGGCTGGAAGTGGACAAATCGCCACCTGTTTCCATCTGTACTGGGATAGAGTGTTGCCCCCTTGCACGTGCGTGTGTGTTTTCATTGAGTGGACTCGCAATGCAGAGGTCGCCAGTTCGATCTCCCGGCGTGGCAGTGGAAGCGTTTCTCCCATCCCTCATTCTGCCCTCTGTCCACCCAGCGGTATCAGCGTGCACACCACAGTCAGCCGATTGGTGAGGTGAAGGGTGGGTACCCCCACATCCTCCAAGATGTCTAGCCAGTGTGGAACAGTAGGCCAAAACACCCTCGAGAGGGACCCTCTAGCGGAGGCCATTCCCGCCAGCAGTGGCGCAATCGGGGACTTGCAGGGCTGCACCTTTACCTTGATAATTCGTTTAATGTACGAATTGTAAAGTCATTCATTTTTCAAAGTAATCGATGGACATACAGTCGTACCTCGGTATTCACGAGGGATGCATTCCGGAGATGCTCGCGAATAGCAAATTTCACAGATAACGATTTTGGCATACGAGATGAATTACTTGAAATAAATAAGTAAATAAGCTATTATCTCATCATTTTATCTCACCACTCAATCTCGCATCACTTTCTTTCTCTCTCTCTCACGATGCAGTCGTGTTAGAGTTCCAGATGCGATTCGCGGATGGCAAGTTCGTGAGCAACGGGGGAATACTTGTAGCGATGCTTTAGTACGTGGATGTCGAGCAAATCCGACTCACCTTTTTGTCAGCAATGTCTAAGTTCTGAAATCCCACAATGGACAGGAGGAACAGATCTGCTGCCTCCAACCACATTCCTTGAAGAAAAACAACAACAACAATTAATTGCGCGATCACAACTAGGGACACTGCGTACACCGTTTTAGCGCTTTTCCTGCAATTGTTGAGTTAAAACTTAAAATAATAATAAATAAAAACAACTCTTAGAGGTTATATTCTTTGGACAACTGCTGTATCGGTTCTGCCTGATGACAGTTGCTTGTGTTGCGATCAAAACGTCGTGATTTAATTTATTTTATTTTATACCTAAGTAACTTTACCGAAAGAACCAAAGAGTATGGATCCCTGCAGTCACGAAAACTTAAAATCTAGATCTTAGAGGTTAAACAGTCACGTGAGCAAGCTCGACTTAGGAAAGGTTTTTCTACCATCAACCAAATGCATACTCTCAACCAGATACTTAACTAACCAAACTTTTTATTTTACCAGGTAAGGCCCACTAAGCTATATAGCTTCTATTTTATTAAGCGACCTGGCTATCACAAATGATAGCTCAACGAAGTGGCTTATCACGTAGGAATTTGTCGCAGCTAAATACTCCAAACGCATGTTGCCAAATGTGGAGGGAAAAACCGGGGGACCCGGAGGAAAATCCACGCGACCACCGGGAAAGAGAGAAACATGCAAACTCCAAATATACAGCTGGTGTCAGGGTCGGGATCGAACCCACGACCTCCTGTATACCAGGCGAGGTAGTTAACATCTTGCCACCCCAGCGCCATTATAGATTCCCTCCCATGGCCATTCGCTGTGTCGAGCAGCAACCAAGCTGTGACACGCTGGCTTCACAGAGCCTCTGAATCCGACTAATCGGAGGCACGATGGCTGTCGCGCTCAGCGGTGGGTGAACGCGTCGCGGCTAACTCCGCGCCCTCCGGCTTACCGAGCTTCTGGAAGATCTGTCCCCGGATCTGAATGCACACCGACTGCACTAAAATCCTGTCCTGGTCGCTGTGGTAAACCCAGGTCCCTGGCCACACAGACGCGGTGCTGGGTTAAGATGGGGTGAAGAAACAAGCTGTGGACAATACCACCGCATCAAGACGGAGAGACTCCGTGTCTCGAGACACTTAGTTTCAGGGAAACCAGGTGATAAGCAACAGCAATAGAGCATAAAGGCCGCTGTGTGGTCACAACACAGCGTATCAACAAATTAACAAGAATAATGATATTTTGATTTAAAACTTTAGTAACTGCAGGGATTCATATTCTTGGTTCTTTCGGTAAAGTCACGTAGAAGGGAAACAACAAAATAATATTCTTTTATTGTTTCCCTTCTACGTGACTTTACCGAAAGAACCAAGAATAATAATTATATTCTTGCGTAAGATGATGATATGCTCAGGAGCTAGATAGCAATGACGGGGACTGCTCGCCAATAGAGGGCTTCAGAAGAGAGTTTTGCAACTGTATGGGCCACACCATTAGAACCTCATTTGCCAGTCAAAAATATGATAATTGTTTTTTTTTACCCTTCTATCTGGCAACAAAACTGACACCTTTTTTTACAAGGAGTCATGTTTGCATAGACCACAATACCTGCAGCCATAATGCAAAAAAAAAACACAACTCTGATAATATATGCACTGTCCTTGAAGTTGATTGGTCCACACCTGAGACAGCTTTCCTTAGAGCCTAGTCTCACATGGGTTGGACCAGATGACGCCAAAAGGCGCAAAACTCAAAGACAATGCACCATCAGAGTATGAGAGCTCGGGGTAAGTATTTACACCATTGGAACCTCATTTGCCAGTAAAAAATAGTGCATATATTATCAGAGTTGTGTTTTTTGTTTGCATTATGGCTGCAGGTATTGTGGTCTATGCAAACATGACTCCTTGTAAAAAAAGGTGTCAGTTTTGTTGCCAGATAGAAGGGTAAAAAAAAACAATTATTGTATGGGCCACAGTTTGGGTTGCATGGCCACGGTCGTACTGTGGCTTGTGTCTGTATGTGCATCGGCCTGTTGATGTTCTGATGCGGTTGATGATGCCACCGGTGCCTTCGCGCAGGAGGAATGCCAAAGCCAGGAGGGCGTGCAATGTTTGGATCCCGAACGAGGAGTTTATTCTGGACGTCCACGATAATAAAAATAATCATCATCCGCAGCCCCTTGCCGATCCACTGCAGGCCAGGCACTTCGGAAGAGGTGGGAATCAACTCACTTTACTCTACCACGTACCGGTTGCCGATCAACTAACTGTGATGTACACATTCATACCGCTGAGTGGTCAGAGATGGTGGGAGGGAGGGGAGGGAGGGGAAGGAGGGGGTTTGATTTCAGAAACTTGCCCCATCGATTCAACATGCGACCTCTGGTTCGCAAAGACCGGTGCATGACGACTCAACACACCGTGGCAGCGTCCAACATCACTTGAGCATTTCAGCAAACAGAGTCAATCGAAAGGCGTAGCGAAACACACACATGCACGCACGCACACGCGCACGCACCTGTTTGCCCGTTGTTGTCAATGAGGCTGTTTAAAATGTATTCGGCTTTTCGAAGCTGACCTGGAATAAAAATAACAAACTCGCGAGAGTGACCCGCCGTCGCGTCGCCGTGTCCAATATGCAGCATGAGCACACAGAGTTCACATGTTTCTTTTGTTAATTTGAAATTATAAACCTTAAATGTAAAACAAAATATTTATGTTGTATATTGCCATAGTGGGCATCATTATCATCATCATCATCGTCGTCGTCGTCATCCTCGTCATCGAATGCTGCTTCTCTTTCTGACAATGAACATGAGGCCGCTGCTGCTACTGCAACAGCTGATGATGATTTTAATACTGCTGGCAATGGTGCTGATGACGATGATGTTGATATTGAAAGTGACGAAGGCAGTCAGCACTGCAGAATATTAACGCCATCCCGTCTGGCCTCTCTGCTTGCGTGCTATGCAGAAGGGCCATCGCCTGAAACGTCGCCGATTTTATTTGCGTGTTTTTGTTGTCTACAGGCAACGATAGCAGCCGCATCACGAAATAATGAGCTTAATGATGATCGTGCTGCCGATGACGATGAGACGTCGACAATGATAACGATGGTAACTACGATGACGACAACGGTGGCAACGAAGACGACGCCCGCCCTGCCGATGACAAAGGCATCGCTGGGTGATTATTAAACTGATGACGACGGCGGCGCTGGTGACGGTGACGCGGGGGGGCGGGAGGGGGAGGGGGCCGCACCGTCGTTGACGTAGACGCGCGCCTGGCGGATGACAATCTGCGGGGCGAGCGGCGTGCCGGGCGACCGTCGGTGCAGGGCTCGCACCACCCGCAGGAGGGGCCCCGACGCGTCCGCCCAGTACGCGGAGCGGTCGAGCAGCAGGCAGGCGCACGCCGCGCCCAGCGCATCGCCCTCGGCCACGGCGCGCCGCAACGCTCCCTGCGAAGACGGAGAGGCAAACGTGCCCCGCGTAGCTCGAAGCGGCTGTTGCATGTAAGTGTATGTTATGACGTTTACGGACGGTCAGTGATGCGCGTTTATTATGCATGTGGGAGGAAAGCGGAGCAGCCGGTAAAAAAAACCCATGCAGAACAGGGGCGGAGAAACATGTACGCGTGTGAGTTGAACTTCTTTCGCTCGGTACGTAGCCAACCGTGCAAATCGGAGGCGCGGGAGAAGGACAACAAAACTTAAACAACCTCCGCCCCCAACAGCACGGCACACGTTGGGAGGCGGTGGGAGGCCGACACGCACGCACGCGCCCGGCCGCCTTTGTCTCCCCAGTGGTGATGTTTACGCATTGCACCAGGTACTCATTTGAGGCTTAGTCGACCTAGGGGAGGCCCAGGACCGGTTTAGATAATCGTCACTGGTGTTGGCCGTGAGCGTAAATCGAACTTCCTACATACACACACACGTAATGCTTTTTGGCCTTTTGGTATCCTCTGGTCTAACACCGTTTGAGACGAGGCTCAAAAGAAAGCTGTCTCTGGTGTGGACCAATCAGTTTCAAGGACAATGCATATATTATCAGAGTACGTTTTTTGTTTGCATTCTGACCACAAGCATTGTGGTTAATGCAGACATGATTCCTTGTAAAAGGTTTCAGTTTGGTGTTTTAACATCTTAACACAACTGTTTTGTTGCCAGAAAAAAGGAGAAAACCTATTATAATTTTTTGGTGCTGGCAAAGAAGGACCCATGAATTTCGACATACACACAAACATCCAAAAACAACAACTGCCATTCACCACAAAGTAGCTGTGACGTCACCACGGCGCTCGTGCCACACGAGGTGCACTTTGAGGCCACGTGGAGTGTTGAAGGTCCTCTGGCAGGAGGGTCACGTACCAGATCCAGGTGCCAATAAAGACAAAGATCCCCCTATAGCCTGTAACAGACTGTTGGGGCAAGTGCTGTTAGCGAGCACCTATGAAGACCGGCACAGCTCACGAGGGGGTGGGTGGCCAGCACCACACCCGACCGCCTTTGTCTCCACAGTGGAAATGTTTTACACACCACACCAGGTACTCATTTGAGGCTGAGTCCACCTAGGGGAGGCCCAGGACCGGTTTAGATAATCGCCACCGTTGTTTGCCATGAGCGGGAATCGAACTCGGGTGGCCGGGTTCGTAGTGCAGCGTAGCGCTACCCACTACACTACCGCTCCCCACTGTGCCAAACACACAAGCGCACACACGCAAAGTATTGACATCGCAAAGTGCCGGCACACGTGAGAGTGCACAATCCTTACACACTTAGGCTCAATTTCCAGCCACGTGCGGCTCTGGACCTCCCTTAGGTCAACTCAGGCGAAACACAAAAAAGCGAGCATCTAACGCCGTGGCGTGATCAGCATCGGGGCTGGGGAGACAAAGGAGGCCTGGCAGTGCGCGCGACACTGACCGCACCACTCCCGAGCACCCCCCCCAACCCACAGCCCCCCCCCCCCGCCGCCTCCCACCCCCCACCCCCACCCCCCCCGAGGCGTACGTCACGCCAACCTTAATAGGCGATCGCTAACAGCACTTGCCCCCCCCCCCCCCCCCCCCACTGCATTCTGCGCGGCTAAGACGGGGGGTGGGTGGGGTGGAGGGGGGGTGACCTATGGGGTATTGTCCTTTTTGTATTGGAATTGAACGTTAATAACGGCGTTATGAGCCGGAAGACAATGGGCAAGCCCCCCCCCCCCACCCCCAGGGCCAGCGAATTTCACATTCAGGGATCGTGCGCTGAGAGGGTGGAGGGGAGAGAGGCGGCGGAGGAGGAGGCGGGAGGAGGGAATGGCAAAAACGAGACAGATGTGAGGTCACACAATGGAGCAATTTGCCTCTCGCCCTCCAAAGGGGGAAGGCCGCCCCAATGGTGGGCAGCATCAAGTGCAGCTCTCGCTCTGCGTTCGGAGCGAGCGCGGGGGGCCCCAAGCGGGAGACGTAGGGTAGGAAATCTTGAGATTTGCTATCTCACGCAAGCTGGGCGCAAGAGAACTCCAGGCTAGCCGGAGGTGGGATTCGGGTCGTGTGCAAGCAGGGGAGAGTCCAAGTCAGAATTTGAGATAAACGGATTCTTTCTAACACATATATAAGGCAGGCCGGCCTTGGCGCACAAATATTGTAAAGATACAACAAAATATCTCAGTGCAGAAGAAGAGCATGACCAAAATTCTCATCGTCAAAATCAAAATACTACTGTATGTGCTAAAATAAATAATACGTATATCAGAATCTAAATTTGTGTTCATCCTGGAGAAATCCGATGAGCTATGAAGCTCTTTTTCCACACATGTCCTGTAGGGGCACGGGGTCAGAAAGTTCCAACAAGAAACGGCACAAAAAACGATTAGAGTGCAAAGTATAGCAAAAAATAAATAGACGTAAGTATATAAGTTTAGATTGCATAAGTGCACCAACTGCCAAGCTTGGGGAACGCAGCAAACAACAGCAAGAGCAGTCCCTGACCACAGCGGAACAAACACACGGTCTAAGAGTATGTGACTACGATACATTTCCACGCGATAAGCCACTTTGTTGAGCTATCATTTGTGCGCCAGGTCGTTTCTGAAGAAGAGCTACATAGCTCAGTGGGGGCTTACCTGGTAAAATAAAAATAGTTTAGTTTTTAGTTTCATCGTTTTAAGTACAGCGCTACATTCATTTTCACGACATTTATTCAACTCAATAAGTGTCCGGCGTGTGATCGAAGCTACGAACTCCGAAGGAACCATGGCAAAGTCTAAACTTTGCACTGCCCCAAATATGCACGTGATTGGGTGGGTGAGTGTACCTGGAATTCACCAAAAATTGAGACAAAGCACCCGCATGGTTGAATCACTAATGATTCTCTACACAAGCCAAACGAAAGCAGGTGATTTTAATAAAGTGTCGTTGGCATGCTCAAATGAGCATTGGTTCCTGCTCAACTCTGGCGGAGGTCCCAAACTAAAGGTCTAAATTCCACGTTCCTATGGCACGGTCAAGTATATCCATACAAAGTCAACAGTAGTCATCAATTGGACGAGTATTTCATGTAATGGCCACTGTTGACTTAGATAATAAATTAATGAGTTTTTGTGACGTAAAAAAAAGTTTAAACTACATAGGCTTTCACGACCACTATTATCCATTAGAGTTTTTTGGGTTAGATCGTGACAACCCTTACTAATTGGCTGTGTCGGGTGGTGGCGGGTTTAACGACACATTTATCTCCACCTCAATTATGGATAAAAAATAATACAAATGATTAAATGCGCAATGATGAGTACCACGTATAAATCGCACGCCGCACAAACGCGCCGACTGCCACAGCGAGTGCGCCGTTTCGCATTCGCTGCTCGAGGAGCGCTGTACTCCTAATAACGCAGCGTCATTAATCTGCGCAATTAATCTAATCACCGGAACCACACAACAAGAGAGGGACGCTGTGAAGTGCCGAGGGATATCTGGGGACGCCGCCGCGAGCCTTGGAGAGCGGCTTAAGCGTGTGCATCACAAAACACTCTCCAGCCACCCCCCACCACCTCGCCACCCCCTTTTAAAAAAAAGGGCCCCCTCTTTACTTTGCAGATTTGTTTATTTTTTGTTTAGAAAGTTGGCCCTTATTTTGTCTTGTTGTTGTTGTTGTGGTTGTCGCACGCGTGTGTGGTTTTTTTTTAAAAAGCTGCCAAGAAAAGTTAGCACCGCGGCGCCACGGTGGGGGACGGTGGACACGAGCAGCAACAACAAACAAACAACAACAACAAAAAGACCCCCCATCCCCCCTCCCAAACAAAATCAAGTGCTTGCATAAACTTCCCGGTCGAGTGCAACCGAGCCAGGCCCTTAATTGCATTTTGACAATTTTTTAATGCACCACCGGTTGAAAACGCGGACAAGAAAGCCGTGGTTTTAGAAAGGGGAGAGAGAATAAAAGGGGCCGTGGCTCTTTTATTTGGCTCTCTCGCTCTCCCGCACGCCCGCCCGCTCTCTCTGCCAGATTACGAATTTGTGCGAGACCCCGCTGCCCCCCCACCTACCCCCACCGGCTTCTCGGCTCCAGATCTCCTGCGCTCTTTCTCTCGCCTCTCGCCACCTCGACGGGTCTGTTGAAACTCGCGTGGCAAAAGAGATCCCATGTTAGCGTCCGAGGAGAGCGTCTTCCCCCTCTCCCTACCTCTCCCATCTCTCTCTCTCTCCCAGCCTCTCTCCTATCCCCGCGTGCCTCGCTCGCCTGGACGCGCTCTCACCATGGCTGGCTGCCTGTCGCCCTAAACCCTCTTCTTCGCTGGGCCACTTGTTGGCTGAATCTAGCCAACCTTTTTCCCCTGGTCACCCTCTCAAGATCGATTGAGCAGTCTCTCCACTGTGTGAGCGTGTTTTTTTTTTCTTTTTCTCTTGTGCTTTTCTCTGCGGCTCTAGCGTGTGTGTTTTTTTTTCTTGCCTAAAACCTCAAATCCCTCTGTTACCCCCAAAACGCTGCTTATTATTCAAGTACAACAAAGCGTCAAAAAAGGTCTGACCTTCTTTGCCGACAGAAAAAAAACTCACGCGGGATGCACCAACCCACCCACCCACCAACCAACCCACCAATGCACCAAACCGCTCACCCACCACCAAACCCACCAAGTTACCCATCCCCAAAAAATAAATATCATTAAAAAAAACCTAGAGATGGGCCAAAAAGGGAACCACAGGCAGGGAAAAAAAGCCACCCTTAAAATGAACGGGGAGAAACAAGCCTGGCTATTATATCCCTTACAATAATTGAGCACTTGAATAGCGCTTGTCTTGAATGCACCGTCGCAGTGAAAATAGCAAACTGCTTTTGTATGCAAGGAAGCCCTGCATATTTACATGTGTTTGCACAGCGCTGTGGGGAGTCTGCGAGCAGCCTCTGGAAAGAGAGGCTGCCGTTAAGAGTGCTTGCGGGCGGGCGTGCGTGTGTGTGTGTGTGTGCGTGCACGCGTGCGTATGTGTTTGTGTGTCGTCTGTGTGGCCGGGGTGGTTTGCATGGCCAAG